GGCCACGAGATGAGGGGAGGGCGGAGTTGGCGGCCCGGCCGTTCTGGGTGGTGGCAGCTGATGCTCCCACAGCCTGGGCCTGGTCCCCCCACTCCCTCTCCAGCAAGGACATGGTGCCCGGGCTGAGCCAGCATGCCTCGGCACACTGACCAAGCAGAGCCCAGAGGAGCAGGCCATGAGGTCACCTTTAAGTGACTCGGAGTTCCCTAGCGGGATGTTTGTCACGCTCCTGAAAACTGAGAAGGAATCTGTAGGAGGGTCAGGCCCGCCGTCACGAGGCGGCGGCCACCGCGTGCTGCTGGAAGACCACAGTCCGGCCCTGACGGTCACAAGCCGGGTGACTCGCCGGACACCGGTCTGTGACAGAGACGGGACAGCTGAGAAGGACCCGCCCTGCCCAGCTCGCCCAGGAAGGCATGTGCGCCTGCGCCCTCACCTCCTGGGACAGGCGGGGGTCCAGGAACCGCGCGGCCAGCTGGTCTACCAGACGCGGGTGGATGCTGCGCTCCATCCTGTCCCCAATCTGGGCCAGGTGCCTCGCGATGTTCTGGATGGCGACGTCTTCTCGGCTGTCAGAGTCTACGTGTGCGGCAGGGCAGAGACACCGGAGTCAGGCCCTGTGGAACCCCAGCCCGCTCAGCCCAGAGCAAGGGAGGGCTCCTGCCTCAGGGGCGCCACCGCAGTCCTGGTGGAGCAGTCGTGCTGCGGCACGGGGTGGGACGGGGACGGCGTCGCGGGGCGGGGTCCAGAGGAGTGGGAGGGCTCGGGAAGCAGCCTCTCCCGGACACACGCAGCCCCCGCGGCCGTCCTGCCCCACCGGTGCCACTTCCCAGCCAGAGGCCACCCGCCCTCCTTGCCCTCCCCACACCTCCCCCCAGGCAGGGCCACTCGGTGAACCCCGGCTCCTCGCTGGCACCCCTCAGGTTCTTGCTGGAGCTCTTCCCCGCCGCTCCAGACTGTCCACCTGCCCACCCCCAAGCTGCTTGCGCCTTCTGGCTGAAGGCCACCCCATGCCACCCCCAAGAGCCTCCTCACCTCCTCCGAGTCTGTTCAAACCCGCTCAGCCCCACACTCCGGCCGCCCCCTTCCATTCCTGACAGCCACTGTGTGTCCCCACCTCTGGGCTCCTGACCCTGCACCCGGGCGTGGTGCCCCCCTCTGCCTGGCACTCTACCAAACTCCCAGCACTAGGCTGGGGGCCGGGGCGCTGGCGGTCCCCTGTGGCAGCCCCCCGCGGAGCCCGGGGAGGCAGGACGCAGGCCCTGCCCGGTGCCTGGGGGTAGTGGGCAGTGCCAGCCTCGGGCCCGGCTCCCAGGACCCTTCCTCCTCTTACTCGTGCTGAGGCGTGTGCGACGTGTGAGAAAGGGAGCTGGCGCCCTCCGTGGGGTCCAGCCACACCACGGCCCTTCCTCCAGTGTGGCAGGTCCCAGCACTGCACACGTGCCTGGCATGTTTCAGGCTCGCCAGGCTGGGGACGTGAACCAAGATGGCCGTGTGGGATCTGCGCGTTACTGCTGTCGCAGAGCCGGCCCTCCCACTCACTTTTTTTTAAAAAAATAATTAGATAATTCTATTTAATTCCATTTGTTACCATTATTTTTTCAAACTTTACTAGACACACACAGATACACACAGAGAGAGGGAAAGCGAGAACGCAGGCCACCAGGTCTGGGATTCGAGCTGCGGTCTGCCATGTGGGAGTCCAGCACGCCAACCACCACGCCACCTGCCGGCCTCCCCATTCATGCTTATGTTTTTTCTGTGCTCGCACCTTCCCTCAAGCTTCGTCTTTGTCCAAGGCAGAAGCCTCGGGTCTACCTTAGCCTTCACCACTGCCAAGACTCTCGGTCAACGCCAAACCTCGTCTATGGCACAGCTGCGGCCCTGCCCGCCGGTGGCCACCTCCTCACTGGGTCCAGGCCCTTCCACACTCTTTGCAGTGACAGCCCAGGACCAGGAGGGCAGGAGGCAGGCAGGGCGCTTGGGTGGCAGAGCTGAGGACGCAGGAGAAAGATGAAGTGTGGGCCAGCCCATGGCCAAGTGGTTAAGGGGGTTGGATTGTGGTTTGAGTCCTGGCTCCGGGAGCTAGAAAACCACAAGGCGAAGTGCAGGAGGAGGGACTTGGCGTGACTGAGCCCCACTAGGGGTGCTCGCCCCTCTCCCTCTCCCTGGTGAGTTCACACACCCTCTGGCAATGAAACATTGAAATTAAATGAGATCCGGGATGCCCACTCGACCGTGGGAGCGAAGGCTTCCTTGACCTCAGTGTTCTAGGTGTTCTTGCTGCGCCTGGACTTGACCCTGACACCCGCCGTGAACACGTCTTCTCTCCTCAAGGCCGCCCAGGGACCAGTCAGACCAGACCTCGAATTCCCTTCGCCTACACCCATAGTCCCACTAGACGTGGCAGCCAAGCTCCCAGAGCCGGGCACCCTTGTAGGCCCCACTCTCCCCAGGCCCGTCTGTGCCAGCTCTTGGCCTGGGTCCGCTGAGTGCAGCTGCGGTCAGGAAGTGCTGCCGACTCCCTGCAGGGCGGAGCTGCCTGCCCCTCTGTGGCCCTGGTCTCCGGAGCTGTGCGCTCTGTGGCTTCTGTGCAGGTCCCCTGCCCTGTGGCACCAGCTCGGTGATGGGGATCGTGTCTGATTGGCCTGTGTCCGTCACCCCACCCCGGCTGGAGCCTCTACTATGCCTAACCCTCCTTCTGAGTCTGGTCAGGTGCTTAACCCATTTGCCAGTTTTCTTATTTAATTTTATTTATCATTATTATTTTTTAAATTTGCTACAGGACATATGTACTCACCAGAGAGACAGAAGCAGAGACAGAAAGGCAAAGTGAGAAATCGAGCTGCCAGATCCAGGACTCGAACTGTAGTCAGTCATGTGGAAGTCCAGGGCCTTCACCACGCCACCTGCTGGCCCCAGAGCCAGGTTTCTACCACTCAAGTTAAGGAAGGGTACAGACCCACAATCCCTTTTGCAAATGCCATTTGAGCCTGTCCTGCTTTGCAGTTTAAAGGCAAGGGACAGTGCAGAGAAGAGCGAGGAAAAGGCCAGACCCGGCTGTAGGAAGCCGCAGCAGTGGCTGAGAGCGACTTGGTCCTGCCCCTGCCCTTCCTAAGCCTGCCCTGAAGGGGACCAGGGCTTTTACTCCATTTGGGCTCAGCTGGGAGACATGCTAGCTGGCTCTGAAAGGCAGAGAAAGTGGCGGACACACCCTGGCTGGGGACTCCTGCCACATGTCTGCCCGATTTAAGGTGGGAATCAAGGGAGGCCAGCAGGTGGAGTGGTCATTAAAGCACTGGACTCCCACGTGGCCAACTGCAGTTCAGGTACCAGATCTGGTGGCTTGAAAATCACAGGTCTCATGTGTATGTGTGCCCAAAATTCTAGGAGGAGAGAGAACGGAGAAGCGATTGTGGCATGGCGGCCCCCTCTGGGGTGATTTCTCACGTTCCTCTCTCTCTGTGTCTCTCCAGTGAGCTCACATGCTCTATAGGGAAAAGAATTGGGTTGGCGGTCAAAAGACTAACAGGCCAGACGGGGCACGGTCACCAGACAGCGCTCTGTGAGGCCGGTGGCCGGGAGGTCGGGCTGGTCCCAGGGACACGCGTACCTGATTCGGGCTACAGCTGGGCAGACTGCAGCAAGAAGACCCAGGTGCCCTTCCCTCACAGAAGAAGCGAGCTTCTGCTTTCATCTTTTTGTTCTAATTGTCAGGGGGTATCTGTGCTCGCCACTGAAAGACGGGGAGACAGGGAGTGCAGGAAAAGCACCTTGGGATGCATGGGAGCATGGCGGGCTCTTCTCCACCTCGAAGTCCTCTGGGATCCGGGCATGTGCGCTCAGTGTTTTTCAGGCTGCTGGGGCTGGGCTTCGAACCATGGCTGACCATGTGGGATCTGGCTCCCTTACTTACTGGGCAAGGGGCCATCCCAAAATAAATAAATGTTAAAAGGCTGGGTGGGGCCACCAGGTAGCATGGTGGTTAAGGTGCCGGACTCCCACATGTACCACTAGGTTTGAGTCCTGGACCTGGTGGTTTGCAAGTCATGCCAGGTGTATGCACATGCGTGCCCAAAGTCCCAAGAGGAGAATGGAGGAAGGATTGCAGTGTGGTCACACCTGGGTGGTGGGGTTCTCTCTCTCTATTTCCCCACCCGGGGTGAGCGCATGTGCCCTACAGCAAAAACCTAAAAAAAAGATGCTAAGCTGCAATTGTTCTCCACGGCCATCTGAGGGCAGTGCAACCTTCTATGCCAAGAGAGTCAAAGGAAGACAGCATGTCTCACTGGCTAGGTCACCAGGCCCTGGGAGTCACCACAGGCCATCAAGACAGTAAGTGACTCTAACCAGGATGCTCGCCCAGGGACCCGCCCAGCATAGAACACAGTGACTTGGGTGCTGGAGTGGGGCCCAGGCCTGCAAGGTCCGCAGGACCGAGGACTGCTGTGCTCTGCCTGGGGCTGGGAGCAGCCGAGCCTCCTGCTCGCGGCTGGCTCCTCAGCCCTGTGCTCAGGCAGCACGCAGCAGCAGTAGTGCTGGGGTGAAGCGGTGGAACGCACAGGGGCCGGGGTTCGGAGGGGAAGTAAGGTCTGGAAAACGAAGCATCCGGAGGGAGGCACAATGCACGGGGGAGTACACCGAGCCCAGCTGGAGAAGGGCCTGGCCCCATCCCGCTCGGCCACACCCCCGGGCTGTCAGATCTGGGTCTAGTCGTCCACCCTGCTCTGGGCCTGCACCTCCTCACCTAGAATGAGGTTCAGGATTCTCCAGGGGCCAGGCGGTGGCATGGGGGCAATGTAGCTGAGCTCACATGGAAAGGGCCTGGGTGTGATTTCCTGAGCACAGCGACCAGCTGAGATGGCAGGTCACGGCTGAGGACCCTGTTGGGGGCTGTCCTTCTGTCCTCCCTGTCTCTGCTATGGTTTAGATGGCAGTTTGTCCCCTAGAGATTTATGTCCTGGAGGGTTGGTCCCTAGTGGCTTTGGAAGGTGGGAGACCTTTAAGAGGTGGGGCCTGGTGGGGACCAGCCAATCGCCCAGGAGTGTGGCAGGGGCGAGGACATAGTTTTCTCTCTCTCTCCCTACAGATCCACCTGCTTCTCTCAGCCACGTGACACAGCACCAGGGGCCAGCCAGTTGCCAGCCCCATGCTCTTGAACTTTCCAGCCACCAGAACTGTGAGCACAATAAACCTCTATATGTTACAGATCACCCGCTTCAGATGTTTCTGCTTAGCATCACAATAATGTGCTAAAATAACCTTCCGCCTGCTCATGGAAGCAAGAAACACACTTTTAGATAAGTTAATACAGTCCTCATTTAAAAAAGAGTACTTCAGTGTTCTAGCTGTCTTGTAGGTAATCACAAGTCACAGTGCATACGAACATGAGGGCCAGGTGAGGGCCAGGCAAGCCGCAGTGGTGGGACGGGATCCAGGTCAAGCCTGGGGACCTCCCTGAGCTCGTAGGCTCGGCCATGACCCAGAGGTGGCTGGAAGCTGGGAGTGGATGGTGGCAAGAAGGCCTCGTTGGGGGTGCTGTCTCGCTCTTCCTCTCTCTCTCTCTCCCAACTCAGGGAAGAAGTAAATGATTAAACTTAAGTACACACACACACACACACACACACACACACACGACAGTGAAAGAAGGTATTATACAGATGCAAAAACGGACTATAAGGAACAGTGGGGGCCAGCAGGTGGGATAGTCATTAAGGCACTGGACTCCCACATGGCCGACCATAGTTTGAATCTCGGACCCAACTCATGCTGGGCGCACATGCATGCGTGCTCAAAATCCTGAGAGGAGAAAAGAGGAGAATGGATTGTGGCATGGCTCTCTCCCCGAGGGTGATTTCTCACTTTACCTCTTTCGATCTCTGTCTCTCTGCAAAGTACATGCTCCCTATAACAAAAATCTCTTCCAAAAAAAGGGAGAAAGAAACAGTGCATTCAACTGAAAGGAAGCTCAGCCAGCCTGCTTCGGCTGGTACGGGCTGTTTGCAAAATCACCCGAGGCCTTGTTCAAACCAGCAATGTCACCGAACAGCCGCACCAGAATCACCCCCTGGGGGATGGCCACCCCAATCCCGTCTCCATTCTCCTCTCAGGACTTCAGGCACACACACATACACGCCTGGCATGATTTTCAAGCCACCAGGTCCGGGTTTCGAGCTGCAGTCAACCATGTGGGAATCCAGCACTTCAACCACCATGCCACTTACCGCCCCAGGCACCAGTCTTTTTTTATTAGCTCCTCAGGTTCTTGAAATTATACAAACCCAAGTTCAAGAACCCCTTGCATTGCGTCATCTAGGCCAGCGGTGGCTGTGGTGTGAGAACCGCTCAGGAGTGTGGTAGACACCATTCAGTACTGGCCTGGACGAGAACACTGGGCCCGCAGGCACGGGGAGTCTGGCCATGGCTCACCGGAGGAAGTCCCTCCGGCCCTGGGCTCCCTAAGTCTTCCTGGTGACTGCAAGGGCCAGAGGGGGACAGAGATGGTGGTGCCTACCTGCCTCTATTCGTCCCAAGCTGCGGTAGCTGGCCCGGTTGCCATCCGTCTGCAGCTCGCTGTCGTCCTCTGGCAGGTAAGTGCGCACGGACAGCTCGCAGGCCAACCCCTCCAGCTCATGCTGGAACTTGGAGTGGGAGCAGTTTTGGAGGAAGCCGAACACCAGCAAGTTTGTGATGTGCTCATCCCTGAGGCTCGAGCCATTTCTGACCTACAACAAGAGGGGAGGCAGGGTAACTGTGGGAGCCTGGAGCAGGGGAGGCCCTTCCTGCAGCTGGGCCGGCAGGACGCTCCTGGGGACAGTAATGCTGTCCCTGACCTGCACAGGCTCAGAACATGAGGAACATGGCAGCCGGTGAGAGGGGACCATGGTGAGTCTGACAGCATGGGACAGACAGTATTCTGGACACAGATGACAGGCCTTTACCAGGACAAGGGGCAGCTCCAGAATGGCTTCTGTTCACACAGCTAACATCTACCCTAAGCCCTCAGGACGGCTTTCCCCGGGCCCCAAGCCACCACGCCGAGACCCATGTGGGTCCCCACCTATGAATAGGCCCTGGGCAGGTGTCTGTGGAGGACTCTGCCGGGCGGCGGCAGCTCTAGCTCAGACCTGCAGTGCCGGCCCCAGGAGGGCAGCAGGAGCTGGCCGGTGCCCAGAGGGGGCCAGAGGAGTCCAGGCTGGGTGCCCTGCTGAGTTACAGAGCCCGGCAGAGGGGACTAGCTGGAAAAGCTCGTGATTGGGTACGCCGACTTTCCATCCCTGGATCGGCAAGGGCCCTCGGCAGGGAAACTGCGGGTGGCCTCTGGGTGACTCCTCTGAAGCCCTCCCGGGCTCCCCAGTGGCCTTATTTGGGGAGCCCTGCCCTTCTGGTAGCAGAGGGCAGGGAGGAGGAGGATGGGGTGGGGCAGGGAGGAGGAGGACGGGGTGGGGCAGGGAGGAAGAGGGCAGGGGGCAGGGAGGAGGAGGATGGGGGAGCAGGGAGGAGGAGGATGGGGGAGCAGGGAAGAGCTGGTTTGAACAAGGCCTCGGGGTGGGGCATGGAGGTTTCGACTGTCTCTTTCTAACCATGCTCCCCAGACTGCCCCTGGGGGGTCTCCGTGGGCCGTCACATGGGGGCTGTCTGCCCCTGGGGGTCTCCGTGGGCCGTCATACGGGGGCTGTCTGTCCCTGGGGGGTCTCCGTGGGCCATCACACAGGGGCTGTCTGTCCCTGGGGGGGGTCTCCGTGGGACGTCACAAGGGGGCTCGTCCTTGCACGTGAAGACCCGCGGGCCCCCCACCCTCCCCGGCGTTCTCCCCGATAACCTGAGACCAACCTCGGCATCCATCTCCGTCGGGCCAGCAGGTGTCCGGTCAGCCTGGAAGAGAGCAGACCCGAGGTTGGTGGCTGTCCCCGCAGCTGGCTGGCCGGGGATCCTTCCTCCCCAGCACGGCCCAGAGAGTGCCCCGCAGCATCTTCCTCCCAGACATTCGCCCAAGCCCAGGCCCACCCGGGCCCCAGCCCCCACAGCAGCTCTCTCACCCCACCTCAGGAGGCCTCGGGGAGCAGGCACCTGAGGGCTGTGGCTTACGAAGGCTCAATCTTGGGTAGGGGACCTAGGTGGAGAGACTGTGAGGGATGGAGGGATGAGGAAGCACCCGGCAGGATGGCCAAGCCTCTATCCCCTCTCCTCCACTTTCCCCTTGGCGTCCTGGGCATGCATGCACATGGGAACTCGAACACACAGCTGGCCACCACATTGACCACCACGTGATTGGCTGGCCCAAGGGTTTTGTTTTGGCTGTTGGAGGCTGTGTACACTAGGAATGTGGCTGGCACTGGGGGCGGCCCGCGCAGGGCAGGTGGTTCTCATCCCATGCACCATGGCCTTGCCGGGTGCAACGGTCAGAGCCGCACCCCTCCTCACTGTGACGAGCCTGCCCTTCTCCGGACAGGGGACAAGAGTGACGCCATCTAAAGCACAGACAGGGAAGGCCTGGACACTGGTGCGGAGGACACCACAGCCATCTGTCCCCAGGGCAGAACGTGGAGCCAGCGTCGACACCAGTGTCAGGACAGTCACACAACACGCCCTTGGGGAACACCCATGAGTGCCATCTCCCCAGCCAGGGCCCAGCCGGGGCTCCCGTCCCCTCAACAGTCTTGCAAAAACCAACTGCAGACGCCTAGGTGGGGGGACAGCCAGCTGCTGCCTGAGTGCGGGAGAGGGGACACACACTCTACCCCCTGCCCGTGCACGCACGCGCCCTCTACAGGCAGGCTTCCGTGTTGCACATTTGCCCTTCTCCGGAGCTCATGTCACTTCAGTGGTCTGACAGCTCCCGATTCCTTTCATTTATTTGTCAGAGGTGTGCATGCTGCCAGAGGTAGAAGGGGAAGGTGAGAAAGCACCCACACGGGGGGACGGTCACACCACAGTCCCTCCTCCTCCCTGTCCCGGTCTCGGGATTTTGGGCACACACACACCTGGCGTGTTTCTCGGCCACGTGGACCCAGCAGCGTCACTCGCCACGCCTGGCCCTCGAGCCCCATTTCACTGCAGTGGCTCTCACCAGGGGTGACTGTGACCCGCGGAGACGTGGCAAGGTGTGTCACCGTGGGGAGGGGACGCAGCTGGCCTGCAGAGTGGTGAGCTTAGGGATGCTGCAGGGCACCCAGTAGCACGGGGCGGCTGGCAGGTCACCTGGACTCAGGACGCCAGCAGCTCCCGAAGATCTGTGCCAGGAGCCAGATCTCCCTCCAGGGCCTACAGCAGAGGACCAGAGAAGGCGCCTGGCCGAGGGCAGACGAGGGAGGCGGGGAAGGCCTCTAACACCTGCGTCTCTGGGCCTCCATGTCGCCATCAGAAAAACGACAGGTTTGGAGAATGCAGGTGTCCTTTCGGCGTTCCCCTTCTTACGTGAACACGTGAAGATTTTTTGTCTCAGTTTGCTATAGGGTGCGCGCTCAGAGGGCGACACAGGGAAGTGAGAAATCACCCGGGTGGCCACGCTGCATTCCATCCTGGGTGCTGGGCACGCTGGCACAGTGCGTGTGTCCCCAGCTGCTGGGTCCAAGTTGGGACTGGAACCTCACAGCGGCAGTGTGGGGTCCAGTGCCGTAACCACCACACCAGCTGCCAGCCCGTGGTAGGGTCCCTTTTAAAGATCACAGGGGTATGAATACTGTGGGGAGGCAGCTGCAAGAGGGTGTCCCAAAGTGCCAACAAGGGCGACACATTGGTCCACACCTCCGGGGTCACAGTGGGACCTCCTGGTGCCAAGGGCAGAGAGGGCATGTGCTCTCCCTGCTTGAAGTGCCACTAAAGGATCCGGAGAAGGGGCTGCCTCCCCTTCCATGGCTCCACACATGCGCGCAGCTCTCTGGGAGGCGGGTGGGCACCCCACTTCCTACTGGAGGCCGTGAACCGGGAACCGAGACGCACAGCCCGGCCAGCGCGGCTCACACTCGCAGGTGGCGCCGGCTCACTCTTCCCAGCCAGGTGGTGCCGGGCCCTCACCCACCAGGCTGGTAGTGCAGAGGCACGACAGCCCCCAGGAACCCCACCGCAGCTGCAGGGACAGCCTTTCCCGCTAAGTATTCGTAAGCAGACCCCATGAAAAAGTAACACCTAGTCCGAGCTATCTGACTGCCACCTGCCCACTCACCTTTGTGGAATGGGCTGCATTTTCTGTTAAAATCTTCACTTTTGGGGGACAGCCACCTGCTGCCTGAGTGCGGGAGAGGTGACACACCTGTCAACAGGTGGCATGGTGTTGGGTGCTGGACTCCCACATGGCCGACCAGGTTCAAAACCAAGACCCACTGGCTTAAAACCCACGCCAGACACATGTGTGTGTGTGCCCCAAGGGGAAAGAACAGCCCTTCATCATCCACAGACAGTGCAATGGAACTCATGAAATGTCAGATAAAGATTTTGGGACATTCACAGTGACGAAGCTAACAGAGATAGAAGAGAAGAGAGACAATGAACTGCAGAAGAAGCAGGAAAAAAGAGACACCAAGTTCCAGGAGGTGAGGAAGTTCTTGCACGATCTGAAAGGAAATACATACCATAAAAAAGAATTGAACGGAACTGTTAGAGATGAAGGCTGCAATACAGGAAATCAAAACCTCCCTTGAAAGCATTAAAAGCAGATTAGATCATGCGCAGGCAGAAAATTGAATCTCAGATGTATAAGACAGAACCTCTGACCTAGAAAAAATCACCAAAAACACTGAGACAATAACCCCCAAAAATGAGAATGATATATGAGTAATACTAGATACCTTTAGATGCCCAAACATCCGGATCATTGCTAGCCCAGAAGGTGAAGAAACTAACCGGGACACTGATAATCTATTCCATGAAATTCTGGAAGAAAACCTTCCAAACCTAGAGAGGCACTCAAATATCCAGACCCAAGATACACAAAGGACCCCACATAGAATCAACCCAAGAAGAAGCCACTGGGTCCGGGACTTGAACCACAGTCGACTACACAGGAGTCCAGTGACATAGCCATTACGCTAACTGCTGGTCCTGAATAAATAATTCTTTTTTTTTTGGAGAGGTTTTTGCTATCGGGTGTGTGCGCTCGCCAGAAAGACAGAGAGACAGAGAGACAGAAAGCGAGAAATCACCCCCACAAGGGGATGGCCACGCCACAATTCCTTCTCCTCCATTCTCCTCTCGGGATCTTGGGCATGCACACACACGCGCCCGGCGTGAGTTTAAGCCACGAAGTCTGGGACTCGAACCGTGGTTGCCTACGTGGGAGTCCAGTGACATAGCCATTATGCTAACTGCTAGTCCCTCAAGTTACTTTCAAAGGATATCCCATCAGGCTAACAGTGGACCTCTTGTTGGAAGTAATATGAGAAAGGAAAGAATGGGAAAATATATTCAAAGCGTTAAGTGAAAAACAATTTCAACCAAAAATACTGTTACTGGCAAGATTATCCTTCATGTGGGAAGAAAAAGACATTCTCAGATAAACAAAACCTGGAGGAATTTACTAACACCAGAGCAGCTCTTTGAGAAGTTCTGAAGAGAGCACTATACCAGGAAAACTAAAGACAGAGAAATAAGAACAAAAAATGACCAAGAGAAAGGCCAACTTAATGGTAGGGACAAGTTCTGAAATATCAGTAATAATGCTGAATGTCAATGGAAAGGTCAGACCACAGTCACACTGCAAATTCAACAAGAGAATTACACGAGACTGAACTGGTGAAACAGAATTCTATGATTTTTCTAAAACATTACTGATTTTCTTCCATGCCTTGTCTTCCAGATTTAAGGATTTTTGTTTTCTTTTGAGTTGTTGGGTTCAGCAATTTGTTTAAAAAAAAGAATTTTTAAAATTGAAACATAAACTTCTCTCCCTTCCTGACCCCTTTGCAATTGGAAAATATTTGTGAGCTTTCTTATTTTGTGGCAGAATGGTTATTTACCTAAGTTCAATACTACAATAGTATCTGTTGCCTTGCATCGGAAATTGAAATTTTTTTTGGAGAGGTTTTTGCTATAGGGTATGTGCACCTGACAGAGAGACAGAGAGAGACAGAGAGACAGAAAGTGAGAAATCACCTCCCTGGCAGATGGCCATGACACAATCCCTTTTCCTCCATTCTCCACTTGGGATCTTGGGCACACATGCACACATGCCTGGCGTGAGTTTAAGCCACTGGGTCCGGGACTTGAACCGCAGTCAACTACATGGGAGTCCAGTGACATAGCCATTATGCCATCTGCTGGTCCCCAGAAACTGAATTCTTATGGGGCTTTGTGCAAATGACAGACCAAATTGAGATTAACCTAATTTTTTTTTTTTCAAATAAGTTTGTTTATATTTCTCTTTAGTAAAAGGGGGAATGGAGCGAGAGGAAAAAAATTTTTTTCAGAAGAAAATTACAATGCACTTGTCACTAGATTCTAGGTTTGTCTATACTTTAAGATCTTTCGTGAATCAATAAAATGTGAAAAAAGAAAAAGTTTAGTAAGGAAGAGAGGAAGGGGGAAGGGGAAGGGAAAAACGAGTAAAAGTATGCTAAACTGACAAAAAAATGAGAGCTATTTGCTGATGATAATGTACACAGTAACATCCTTGTCTTGACTGACACGCATGGTTTGTGTTGGAAAAAGAAATGTGTACTGTAAAGACAAGTAATAAAATATAAGTTAAAATAAATAAGTATTTTTTTTTTTTGGAGAGGTTTTTGCTATTGGGCGCGTGCACTCGCCAGAAAGACAGAGAGACAGAGAGACAGAAAGTGAGAAATCACCCCCCAAGGGGATGGCCACGCCGCAATCCCTTCTCTTCCCGGGGTCTTGGGCATGTACACACACACACACCCGGCGTAAATTTAAACTAC